AGTCACTGGTACAGAATTGGAAATCATGAATGTTTGCTGTTGAGTGAATGGTTACGAAATGGGTTTTCAAAGTGCCTATTTTTTTTCCAACTTCTTAGACAAAAATTGAAAAGTAAGAGAAAGAAATAAAAAGGAGCTCACTATCATCTACACTTACATCCTGGAGAGCAAGGTTTTACCTGGAGGAGAGCCAAGCCAACACACATGTGAAGTGGCTTTCGGCTCAGTGTCACCTCCTTCATTGTGAGGGCACAGCAAGCATGGACCCTATCCCGAGTGTTCAGAGCCATTTGGATCACGCAGGTTGATGACACTGAAGGTTTTCACAGGGCTAGGTATTCAGAGCCATTCTGCAATTTTGCTAAATATTGGACAGAAAATGAGCAGCTTTCAGAGAGGACAGAGATTGAGGATGGGGGTCAACTGGCAAGTGAAGTTATTAAAAGTGAAGGAAAACATTTTATGGCAAACCTCCATGTATCAAGAGGGACACACCCTTGGCACTGCTGTACCTCGGGGCTTGGCAAGGCCTCCCCTCCTGTGTGGTCATACAGCTCTGCCTACAGATGTGCACTGACTTGCTGTGTCTTCCACACAGTGAACTCCATGAGGGCAGGGATGGCCTTTTGTGTGTCAGCCTGGTGGCATATCTGTGACTGAATTTTTAGGCTGTGAGACACAGTGCTGGGCCTTATGAAGCTGACAGCCTCGTTGCCAGATGCAGTATTATTGCAGCCTCATAGAAGCCATTTACTGTATCTGGCCTTAAAAAAAATATCTACAAGCTTCTCACCGGAAATCACCGAATACAAGTTTAAAAAGGAGAAACAATATTTAATATTTAATTTTGCAGTGGCTTAGACTTGTGTGTATATGTGGTGGCTGCGGTCCATTTTTTATGGGATGAAAATTCTCCCCCATTCCTTCCCTACAAAAGCCAAGACTAACAAATAAAAAGTCCCTCTCTGGTCCCAGTAGTGGAGAGTAGGGGATGCCAGGCTATAAAAAGACTATTTCAGGCAAATCGTTCCACACTAGAAAAAACTGACACCCTGACCATCACAAAAGGCCCAACAGCGCTGTCTCCAACAGGTCCCAAGACACTGGCGGCCTGCAGTCTCCAGCCAGGGTGGAAAAGACAGTTCTGAGACCCAGGCCTGGTTCTGCCATAAATTCATTACAAGCAACACGTGCCCAGCAGAGGGCACCAGAACAATGCTTTTACTCCCCAGCTAGTTCTACTTCAGCCTCTGGCTGAACTAGTTGGTGAGTAATCTATTTGCTTATTACACTGGCTTATAACCCTGGCGGAGCCCTCTGTGCCCACTTTTCTTTCCTACCCACAACCTCTGCTTGTCTTACTTATCCTAGGGTACACAGAAGATGCAGGGGTGGTGAATGGAAGGGCAGGTCTGAGTTATCCTGTGTCTGAACATCTGTGCAAGGGAGCTGCAGGGGGAGTCCATGGATTCAGGAATGTTAGCACATCAGCAATCCTTGCATTGATGAACTAGAGAATTTGAGCTTTCAGACAGGCCTTCCCCTTTACTTCTTGGGCACTAACTTAAGGGTGATACATTAGGTAGTGGGTAATACCAGCGACTCCTCTTGCTGTGTGGGATCTTAGAGAAACTTCAAGTGTTCTAAACCTTAGCTTCCTCATGTTAAGGGATCAGTATCATGCATAGCACAGAGAAAGCACTCAATAAATATCAGCCTAATAAGAGCATTTATTAAATGTTGCCACTGAGCTGATGTGACATATCTATTCTCTCATTCAATTTGATTGAGTGCACATCAGTAAACCGAGTCAGGGTGGAATAACTTGTCCAAAGCATATGGATGGCCAAGGGTAAGGCAAGTGTTTAGCTTGGGTCTGTCAGATTCCAAGTTGATGCTCCTCCATGCTCTCTTGGTGTGTGCCTGACAGCCTTTGCTGCAAGCCTGGGAACAATGCACTCGTGGTTAACGCGTCCAAGCCCAGCAGGACTTGCCATCTAAACCAAGTGGTCCTGAACCTCTGGGCAAAACAGCCAGTGTGATCATCTGTTACTTTTGCTACACCTTCCTTTGCAGTAGCTGCATCTCCTGTGTGGGCTGCAGCAACGTGTTCTACTTACATCCCTTGGAACCATAGATTGCTGCTATGATTGCTATGATTATCATCATCACCAACAGGACAGGCTCCCTGTGGCACCAACCGCGGCTTTAAAATAGTCTTTGCTCTCAAAGAGCTCACAGTAAAAAACAGGGAGAGAATGTTTTTAGTATCAAAAATTCGAGGGCAAATCAAGAAGAGTGGTCACATGCATACATAATGGAGACATGGCTTTGCTTTGTGTTTTAAGGGTCAGACGTAAGTACTAAAGTAAATTCGATAATTATAGCAACGAAAAAATACACTTTAGTTCTATACAACGGCCATTCAAAAGAGAGAGAGGGGATGTGAGGAAGAAAATGAGAGACAAAGGCTGAGAAAATAGGAAGGGAAAAAAGACAGAATAACAGAGAAAACCAAACAAAGATTCATCTTTGTCACTGGGCATACGGTAAGCGTTTGGTCCACGGTGTCATCATCATTATTGCCAATAACATCATGATATTATTACAGAGAGGTCTTTTTATATGCATGCACCCAAAGAGGCATGAAATGAATTATAACACCCATACTGCTCTCTTCTAGGATATTGCATCTTAAGGTTTTGAAAGTCAGGTCGCGCTGACCTCCATACCGGCAGAGAGCACACAATGAGGGAGGAAATTAAAAAGGGAGCATTCACACGGAATCTTCTTTCAAGAGAAGAGATGAGAAATCCCATCTGGATGGAGATGAATTAAGTTTGGGTATTGCGATCAAGCCCAAGCGGTGGTGCTGGTGGGGTTTAGGGATTCTGCATGGTTATTTCTTAAGCCAAAGGTGTCTGGGTCATTGGAGAATTGAATAAAAAGGAGAAGATCTATCAGGAGGTCATAGGCTTAGGGCTCTCCACAGCCTGTAGGTCAGGATTCTGTTCAAGATATTATAAAGACACATCCTTAAGCCTGGCATCATGTCAGTATCACCCAGCAGCTTCTAGTAATATGGAAGACCTGGCTCCACCCCTGACCCCTTGCATCAAGCAGGGCTTAGGCAGGTGACGCAGACGCATGTCCACGGTGAGAACAGCTTGAGGAAAGGGAAGAGAGCTACGTACTCTGAAGTATCCAAGAACTGAAACTCAGCCCATTGGTTTGTGTCCTGGCTCTGGCCAGTGTCCATGTGTATTTCTGACTTTTTTTAAGACAGGGTCTTGCTCTGTTAGCCCAGGCCGGAGTACAGTGGCACAATCATAGTTCACTGCAGCCTAGACTTCCTGGGCTCAAGGGATCCTCTCACCTCATTCTCCTCAGGCATGTGCTACCATGTCCAGCTACTTTTTAATTCTTTTTTTTTTTTTTATAGAGATGGGATCTCATTGTATTGCCCAGGCTGGTTCAAACTCCTGGCCTCAAATGATCCTCCCACCTTGGCCTCCAAAAGTGCTAGGATTACAGGCATGAGCCACCATACCTGGCCTTGTATTTCTGCTTTTATGCCATTTCTTCATCTCTTTTTTATCTAAATCCCTAGACCAGTGCTGTGCAAATACAACTTGATGGATGATGGAATGTTCTGCACTGTCCAACATAGTCCCCACCAGGCACTGGTGCTACTGAGCACCTGAAATGCGGCCAGTGTGACCAAAGAACTAGAGTTTTAGTTTCATTTAATGTAAATTAAAATAGTCACTTGTGACCTATGGCTGCCACACTGAACGGTGCAGCCTCAGAACCTCTCAGCTGAAAGGGACCTTGGCGATCACTGAGCCACTGATCTCATTTTACAGAGGAAGAAGCTTGATCAACAGTTTTGGAGCAGGAACGAGATATTCAAATTCTAACCCCACTGATCACTACCTGTATGACTTTTGGCAAGTTATGTTAATGCTTTAGCCTCGGTTCCCACCCCTATAAAATTGGGGTAATAATATATGTCCTTATGTTGTGGTCAGGAGTAAAAGAAGTCACAGGTGATTTGCAAACACAGTGCGTGGTCCTCAACCAATGGTTGTCCCCACAGTCCTCACCTCAGCAGTAGCTGCACATCTCCAGGGGCACTCCCAGCATTGTATTCCATATGAACGGGGGGTCCCAGAGGTGTGCCACATCGTGGCTTTGGCCAGGGTCAATCCCTTTTGGGTCCTAACTCTTGTACCTGAAATTAACTCTTGGACTTAAACCCTAGACCAGTGGTCTGAAATTTGGGTTCACTGTCCTGGCCTAGGCTTCTTCATCACAGGGCATTTGGGCCAGGTGAAGCCATGGCTTTGCCTACATGAGTGTGCCCAGCCACACTTATGCAGCATTTGAGAAAGCTGACCCTGTCTACCATATGTGTCATGCCTGGGGGGCACCAGGTGGGCCCTTCTATGGTGCTGGTGAGAGGCTTCCTGCCCAAAGGAAGTCAGGCCAGTGCCATTGGGGGGCAAGACCTCGGGAACCACACCTAATGGGAGTCTGAGGGTGGGAAAGGAGGGTAGCAGGACAGAGACAAGGATAAATGGAGGAAGGGATGAAGAGAAGGTCATTTCCTGTCATTGCTGTTGGGGTATCTATTGCTCATCTTCCTGGGCTGGCTGGTGTGGGCTCTGTAGTTGACCTTAGCTTGCCCTGTTAAATGTAGATGGCTGAAGCCCAATGGGGACAGATGAGTAACTATTTCACCATTTCAAGCATTGGTGGTGTTCAGGCTAGGACTTTGTATAGGCCTCTCTAAACGAGCCAACTAATCAAGACTCAACGCATTCTTACTACCACAGCTGGGATGGTGCAAGTTCTCCGTCTTGATAACATTTTTAAAAAGCTCTAATCACAGGGCTTGTCTTTAAACCATGTCAGGAGCTAAAAATGGTCATTTATGAGTGTATGGATCCCAGTGTTTTTGCTGGGACCTTAATCAGTACACTTTTCCTCCTTCACAGGTATCCTGGAAGCTTGAAGGGAAAGTTTCAAGTCTAGTCTCAATTAAAGCCCCACTAATTGACTTGTTCTGCCACCAATTGGCCATGGACCTGTACTGCAGGATGCCTATTACACACCCAGTGCTGAGCTGTGGAAAATCCAGAACACACGTGACCACTGACAATCATAAATAGTGGCTTCTCAAAGGGACAAGTTGTGTCAGGGACCTAGCTGGATGCATAACAGATTTTTCTTTATTCTCAGATTCAGGCTTCTCTGCTTGGGGCAGCTCCCCCAAGCAAAGAGTGTAAGTATAAATTGGGGGAAGACAGAACATATGCTTCTTCCTTCCTAATATTCCTGACAAAAGTATTTTGTTTACGTATTGAAAATCCTGGGATGGTGTGAACTCACAGGGAGAGGGCAGGAGGGGACCTTCTTGATCAAATGTCTAAGATAAAGGTGAAGGCTGCAGTAACAAAGAGCCAGCTGATGACCTTGTTCCTCTTGTAAGGTGCCTGCACCCCTGCCAGGCATATGATCTGGGTGGTTACACTTATATGCCAGGAGAGGGAGAGGTGCTCCCCCAAGGGTATGTGTCAGCATCCTTGATGCGGCTTTCCCAAACTACAGCTGCATGGTTCTCTCCCAACTCATTCCCACAAAGGTGGATTCAAGCTGTGGGAAGGTGGATGTATCTTGTGAAGTGTTGCTTTTCGAAAATTCAAAATATATGTTACATTCAGGGAAGGGCTTCCATTAAGCCCTATTTTTATATAATAATCTAGAAATAAATCATATTCTACTATTTGCTTCAAAAAAAGTAAGAAATGCTTAAGTTCTCTTTACATTGATGTCAAAGCATAGCCATGAGTTACGCTGTGCAGGAGGCAGGTGTTTGGCAAGGCAGATTTTTTCCTGACGAAACAAATAAAATCCTGGGAGGTATTTGTTTTAGTAAACCAAAGGGAAATCCCATGAGACTCTGGCTTGTGCCTCTGTCTTCCTCAGTGAAAACAGCCTGGGGCCACGCCTGTGTCCTGGGTGGACTGAATTCGTTCTAGTGAGATGATGTGGTAAGCGGGAGATGCCCCTTGGGAAGGGCATCGTGTTGTCTACATGCAGCTGCTTTCAGCCAGTGCCGTCCTGCTGCTGGGACGGGAACACTATTGGCTGTCATCACTGTTGTGCCCACCGTTTTGGCTTATGGTACCAGACCCCCCTCCCACATCTCTAATGACACACAGAGCGTCTCTGGTCTCTAGGAGGTGGGAGGGACACTATCTCCAGCTTTAACCATATGCACAACAAGGAGATCCAGCGGCCCTCTGGTGGGGAAGCAGGCATTCCATCGGCAAAGATTGCCACGGGCACAGGAGACAACAGAGTGCAGGAAATGCTCAGAACCAGGAGACCTTCATTTCAGTCCAGCATCCACTTAGTTCCAGTGGCTTGGAGTAGCTTGGACTCAGTATACTCCTTTGTAAAATGGGGATAATGCAGGGTGCTCTCATGTGGGGCTAAGGAAACAATGCATGAAAGCCCTTTGCATATAAAATTTATGTAAAGAAGAGGTATTGGTCCTGTGTTATTACTATACATGTCTGACCATCACTCCATTATTAACATGACTACTCAAGCTTTCTATGATGACCCACCCCCAACCCCCAGGCCTCTCTGTTCACGGGATTTACATTAGAATTTTAGTTACTGTGCAGAGCTGCAGTCAGCTGATGCGTATAGGAAAAATCAGGAAAGGTCTGTTTCTGGAAAGTGAGGTCTCTTTAGTGCAATGGGAAATGAGACAGGGGCAGAGAAAGAGTTTTAAACTTCTGATAAAGGAAGAATGAGACAGCCCCCAGATGCAGTGAGTAGACAGAAATATTCTAGTGGGTGAGCTGAGGTCTTTGAAGAGAAGCAAGCTGATGCCATCTGGCTGTGTGTGGGAAGGAAGGGGAGAGGGCACTAGTGAGGACCCATAGTGGGGTTGGGCTGGTGGCAGCAGGTGGCCAGGGAACTGGAGCAGGTGGGTATGTGACATGCCAACAGCTCTGCTCTCTGGGCCTGGAGCCTAGCTGACCAAAACACAGTGAAGTACAGCTCATAACTCATAACTCACTCTATCCTTGAGGATACAGTGACCCTTATTTCAAAACGTAGAAATACGGTAATAATAGAGCAATAACTATGTCTGCATCTCAGTCACCTGCCACTGTTGCCACTGTGCCCCTTATCTGATTTTCTAGCCACATAACCACTATTCTATTTCTTGAACATGCCAAGTTCCTTCCTGCTTGAAGCCTCCAGGCCTCCGTTCCCCCTGTAGGAGTGCTCTTCCTCTTACTGCTCCAGATCTCTCATCTTTCAAGTCTTGGTTTCACGTCATCTCCTAAAAATGGTTTTCCCTGACACCTCCATAACCAAACATCTACCTGTCCCCAGCACTCCCTCCTCTCCATCCTCTTGGTGACAATTACTGAAATGTGTACCCCTGCGTTTGTTGTTGTTATTTACTTGTTTATGGCATGTTTCACCATCAGATGGTGGAGTCTGCTGTATCTGCAGAGACCACTGTCTCTGTAGCACTGACATGGTCTGGCTGTGTCCCCACCCAAATCTCATCTTGAATTGTGGCTCCCATAATTCCCTCATATTGTAGGAGGGGCCTGCTGGAACATAACTGATTCATGGGGGCGGATCTTTCCCATGCTGTTCTCCTGGTAGTGAATAAATCTCATGAGATCTGATGGTTCTATAAAGGGGAGTTCCCCTGCACACGCTCTCTTGCCTGCCACCATGTAAGATATGACTTTGCTCCTCCTTCACTTTCCACCATGACTGTGTGGCCTCCCCAGCCATGTGAAACTGTAAGTCAAACCTCTTTCCTTTATAAATTACCCAGTCTTTGGTTTGTCTTAATTAGCAGTGTGAGAACAAACTGATACAAGCACCTAGCACAGTCCCTTGCACATAGGGGAAGCTCAATAAAGACTGTATTGGCCACACAAGGAATCTTCAGAGCCATACTTTAGGGAAGGCCTTATGATCTCCATGTTATGGACAGGAAACTAAACTGTTGTTCAAGGTTACATACATAGTAGTCAAGGGCAAGTCCAGAATCCTATCCCAGGTGTGGCAGAGACAGAGCCCAAGCTCTCTGTTCTTGCCTCTGACTCATTGACTCATGGTTGAGTCTGGATGCTGTAGGGATTTCTATTTTCTGGAGGTCCCCAAGACTTGACACTTTGAGTTTGAAGAAGATACTTCAGAAACACCCAAAATGCAAGGTGATGTCATGCCTGCAGCGTGAGCCCAGGAACTGCAGCTCTGATTTTGTGACCGGTCTGAGTGACAGGCTCTTTGGACTTCTGCTGCCCTGCTCCATCCTGTAGGATCCTTTTCCACTCCCTGCTGGAAAGGCTCCTCCCTTGTCTGAATTCCAAATCCATTTTCATTCTCAATCTTTCAACTCAGCACCCAGTTATGAACTGTCTCCCATTACCTCTTTTTTTACCAGCCTTACCCGTGTCCCCTCCTGCCTTGCTAACCAGATTATAAAGCTCTGGAGGGTGGGCATGGAGTCTTCTACTTGTTTTGTTCTCCTTGGTGCTGAGTGCATGCATGACAGCAGCAGTAAAACAAGCTGACAGTATGTTGACAAGGAAAGCTTCTGCCGATAAATCAATGAAATTTAACCTCTGATGAAGCCATAAAGATACTCTTTGTAACCCTGTGCATCTGGCGGTTGGTGAGGAGGAGGGAGTTTCTGTAGGTGACCTATGCTTATTCCTTGTGGACTGCAAGACTACTATGTGCTGGTTTGCACACCCTCATTTTAATCCGCTCATGCAGGGATGAATGCCACTAGACCCCTAGTGGGGATGCAGTAAGCCCCTGGTCTTGCCTTTCCCGTGGCTGACTTTCTAGTTTTGAACTGCATCTGTGTGCTGCCCTGTCTCAGACTGTGGGCACCAATATCAAGCAGAACTAGAGCCCTACTGCCAGTCCCTCGGTTTCTTGTGGAACCTGCCCCACTCAGCTCCTTCCCCAGCACTTTGCATATCCTCAACTGGGTTTAATCAAACAAATAACAAAGAATGTTACAGGCTCAGTGAACTTTACTGCAGACAGGAACAGCACCAAACCCTTGGGCCGTGGGAAGACCACTGAGCTCCGACTCAAGGTGACAGACAGAAAGGTTGGCTCCACACTGTGACTTCCTGACTGTGTCCAGATGTGACCATTTTGGTGGTTCAAACAGCAGTGGCAATTTTCTCACTGCCGCTTTTCAGTTTCAGTAAAGCAAGCGATCTAGGTGCTAAGAATACACCTGATCCTCACAAAGCTATTTCCCCACTGGACTTAGTACAATTCTTTTTCAGAGTGAATAAAAAAATGAAGCCTATCAGCGTTTGTGTTTTTCCTAAATTGGTCTGTGTAAAACTTACCTCTGTAATCATCAATAGACTGTGTTTTTCTCTCCTCTCTTACCCCTCCTGGCCCCCCACTGACACTCACTTTCTCTCTCAATTTCTCTCCCCATCCTTTTGAAATTTTTACCCAGGCCAGTGGCTACCTGACTCAATGACAGAGGGTTGAATGTGTGCTCCAAACCTGTACATGTGGAGGGTAGGCCAGTACTTCTTGGGGACTCACCCAGACGGCAGTGGGAGCATGGTGGCCTCCAGCAGATGCCGAGGTCCCCTCATCTGCCACCTTTGTGCTGCAACTCTGCGGATGTGGCCATCTTGGCTCCTCTTCCACTTGCTGCTCACTTTTGCTCTTCTGTTTTCGTATAATCTGGGGAGCAGAGGACGAAAAAGGGGCAAGTTATTGGAAAGCCCTCCTGATGCTACGTGGAGTAACTGGGACCATCTTTGGAATTTTTTCAGCCACTTACAAGATTAATTTCAACAGAACACCAGGCTGTTTCAGACCTGCTTTATGAGAAACAAGCACAACGATAGCCTTGAGCATTCTAAGCATTTCACAGTTTACAAACAATCCTTTCATGATGTTAACAGTTTCTTCTATTTATTGAGTGCCTAGCATGTGTCAGACCTCATTAGGTATTGCGTAGGCTTCACCTCACTTAATTCTAGAGGGTACATACTATAATTCTTACCATTTTATAGATGAGGAAACAGGCTCAGAGAGACTAAGTTATTAGTTACGGCCACACAGCTCATAAATCATGGCACTGAATCTCAAACCCAGAGCCTCTGGCTGTAAGTCCCGACTTTAGGAGGCGTCTGGAAGGAAGCCCTATCAGGGGGGTAGACAGCAAGAGTCATCAGGAATGGCTCCAGATCCAGCTCATCTGCACAACCATTTGGATCTAGTGAGTCCATCTGTACTAGGGCCTCTGGGCTCTCAGGTTCCCATTCAGCTCCTAGGAAGCAGCCAAGAACTGTGCTGAGCCACCAAGATGGGCATGTTCTTCAGTGTTCCTTTAGGCCAGACAGGCAGATAAAAAGAAGGCTTAGAGCCCAGAGAACAATGAACTGAGGTGCCATCTCCCATGGCAGGGTGGGGACCCAGCCACTTTGCCCAGCAGGATTTCAGAATTGCTGAGGACCAGTGACACCCACCCCCGTCTCTCCCAGTCTTTCCTCTGCAGGTGGATGGGGCCAGTGCTGTCTCCCTGTCTCTCTTTCAACATTGTATGGGAGTATATGGGGGGAGATCATTTGTTTTCTTTGTTTACAGATCTCCAGCAAAAAAGGAGCTGAAACTGCATCAAATGTACTTTGAACCATGATTGGATGAGACATGAGGGTCTTTGGGTGTGGTGAGTCTACTTGACATATGCAAGGGATGTGAGTTATTGTGACCAAAAGGGAAGACTGAAGTTTTTCAACACTTCCTGCATACGGCACTTTGTTGAGTGACTCTGTAGACCCTCCCAGTAGAGAGAGAATCTGCTTTGGGCTTGATGTGTGACTTGCACTGGTCAATGACATGTGAAGAGGGAGTCAGTGGCCACATGCCAGGGCTAAGCTTCAGCCTTAATAGGCAGTGTGTACTTCCTCTTGCTGGCTTGTGCTCCTGTCATGGCCACCTGCAGCTGATGTGCCTTCAGTTGGGTCCCAGAATGAACATGCTGCAGCTGACTTTGTCCCAACCCACAGCCAGAAATG